TGTTGTAGGTTTTAGAAACGGAGCCTCAGGAAATATAATTGGTGACACCTGACCTGGAATACCACACCATACGTTTAACCTTTGAGGATGCATTGTGTCATTAATTCGCAAAATTTAAGACAACGATCAAAATATTCTTCATTTAAGTCTTCTACTGACATATTTAGTTTTATATGGATGAAACTTAAATTTAAAAAGGACTCGGAACTCGTAAGGCTGTAGAAGATGAAACACCGATTGCTCTGCTTATTGTTGACAGTGTCTGTGATTGCTAAGCCTCTAAGTTAACTTGCCCTAAAACATCTACTTGGATTGCTTCGTTATTCACAAGTCCCTGTCGGTTTTGTTTTTTATTGCAAATTGACCTTGTTGCTCTAAATCTCTGCATCAGTTCAATCACATACTTATGAGTTGCATGTCTACTGTGGTGTGTTTTATTAAAAATTCTAGCAGCAGTTCTTGCACAGATAATATTAATGTATTATAAACCTACAATTTTAATTCTTTCTTGCAAAGTGTACACCATTTTAGAGATCAAGTTGCACATGTATCAAAATAGGCCGTTACAGGTTATAACAAATTGTTGTTGGATATCAACCGATTAAAGTAAATATCCCAAAAATATCGATTTCGAAGGTACTACAAATAGTACGGTTATATATTTAAAAAGTTATGCTAAAAATTATGCTACAACCTATTGTGTTACAGTCAATTAAGGTGAGAGAGATATCTGGTTAACAGAAAAATTGTCTATCTCATAAACTAATTACTTCAAGCCAAAGGTATTATATATAGATTTTTGAAATCAGTACAAATAGGAGAATCCAAATAAAAAATAAAAAACGGAAAGTAATTAAAAAAAAAATAAAGGGATGGCACGCGCGCTGAGAGGCTGGATTTCCCGGCAACCTTAAATATAATATAATATCTTCCCCTTCAAATATTATTTGACGTGTTTTTGCCTTTTACCAAAAAATTAAAAGTTCAAAAGTTACTCAAAGCGACATATAATTACCGCTTACTATCAAATCAATCCAGACTTGTAGAACTGGAAAAAGAAACTGAAAATATAAAATGAGACTTCATAGATTTTAGCAAAGTAAGACAGAAAGTTGAAGAGCTATTTGAATTAGCGTCAGCAAACACATTTTACTACCGAGGAACATCAACGGGAGAATAGGCGATATTGGATTCCTAATCAAAAAGAGATGGAAACGAAGAGTAGTAGAAATAACAAGTATCTCTGATAGACTAGCTAGCTTAATCTTACAACTATCAAATAAATACAATATACAAATATACGTCCCAACGATTATTTACATAGACGCAGAAATAGAAGAGCTATACAGTAACATAAGTGAAGCATTAACTAACAATACTAACAATAGTAATCACTTCTTATTCATCTATCAAGTATTTAATTAGCGACTTAAATGCCAAAGTGGGAAAGAAAAACAGCAATGAACAAGTCATGGGAAAATATAAAATCAATGAGAGAAATGAAAGGGGAGAAAGACTGGTTCAGTTTGCACACCAATAAAAAAATGCCTATTGCAAATAAATTTAAAAAAAAAACGAACAGAATAGAACCACTAAAAACGAAATTGATTTTATTTCAACCAACAAGGTTTGTAAACAAAAATAAATAAATTTCTAACAGGCAGCGACCATAGGCCAACCAAAGCAACAATGGTTCTAGATCTGAAAATAAAAAAAAACAATAATCACAAAACCAACAATAATCAGTATCAATATTGATGATCTAAAAAGAAAACTCGGATCACTACCAAAGGACAATTGATAAAAGACGACATGACCAAATTGGCAGCTCTTTAATAATGTGTAAACTAATGTGTAAAATAATGCTAAAACAAAAAAGCAAAACAAAAGTAAGCAGAGAATACAATATACAGAACTTTGTATGACAATAAGAAAAAGTATTAAGAAAGACATAAGCAAATACAATAAAAGACTGATAGAAAATTAAATCGAGAACAGAAACAACTATAAGAAAACTAGAAAAGCATTAATTATAGAGAAGAAGCAGATCGTTGCTCTAATAAACGAAAACTCAGAATTACAGAAATGAAATAATACAACTCGTGACTAAATTCTACAGCGAAATATACAAAGGCCCTGAAACAATTGAAGAAGCAATTATTAACCAAGAAGATGTACCAGAAGTCTATCAGGAAGAAGAACATAGGACAATTACAAAAACCAAAAGCTTTAAAGCAGCTGGAATAGATAGCCTAACAGTGAAATATGCTGTGAAAAAAATACTAACCTAATTCTTATTCATAAAGAAGATGACAAAGAGGATATCAAAAACAACAGACCAAAAATTTTGCTACAATTCTTATATAAGATAATTTACAAAGATCATCAACAACAGATTAACCAACGCATTAGATGCTGCACAGCCGAGAGAACAAGCTGGCCATAGAAGTAGATTCAGTAGCCTGAATAATATCCATACAATTTGATAACTAATAAGTAGAGCTAAATAATTTGAAATACCGCTAGTATTAACCTCCATATTTCTGGCTTTTGATTCCATATATCCCATATACTGGAATACTTTTATTTCGGTATACTCTAAGTACAAGAAATCAATTTGCCAACAATTTTTGCTTAGATAAAGATATCTTCTGGAATAAAACTTTTAGATCCTCCATATCTCTTACATCTTTAGCATAATCCATTATCGTCGTTTTGCGTCGTTTTGCCTTGCAAATTTATAGAACGGACTTCAGAAATGTAAGTTTATGATTATATACTATATGTGCTTTAGATTAACGACTACGACAAATAGCAATATTAGATTACATAGGTATTTTACTATCATATATTAAGAAATAAGAAAAGGAAAAGACAGTTAAGATTTGATTTCATGTATAGTGCGTCTGTGTATCTGCTTATACGAATTTCGCCCTAATAGGGCTATTCAGAACGGCAATTCACGGTCGCTCTGAACGTAAAAATAATTCTCATCTGCCTTAGGAAGCAACTCTAACATGGCTTCGAATGGACTCAAATTTGAGAATAAATCCGTAAACTAATTTTCGAAACCAAATTCAGATTTTAGCTTTAATCTGTGCCTTCTAAGAATTGGAAGGCAAAACAAACGTCAATAAAGATGTTATTAGAGACATGGGGAATCTAAAATTTGCATTCTGTAACATATCTCCTCTTTTTCTTATTGTGCCCTATCCAATTAGTGGATATTTGCGACAATTCTGGCATACTCCTCTTGATCTTGTGTGGCTCTAAAGATTGTATAGGCATCGAGGTTTGTCCATTCCCTTATGTTTTTAAGCCATGAGTATTTCTTTCTTCCGATTCCCCGTTTAACTTCTATCTTGCCTTCCATAATAAGCTTGAAGAATTGGTACTTGGAATTTCGAAATATATGACCCAGATAAGCAATTTTCCTTCTTTTTATTAATGGCAGCAATTTTCGATCTCTGCCCATTCGATTTAATACTTCGACATTTGTTGTGTAATCTTTTCAGGGAATTTTAAGTAGTCTTCTAAATATCGACATTTCAAAGGCCTCCATCGGTTCATCACATTGGCCTCTATGGTCCAGGTTTCTACACCATTTAGCAATACGGAGTAAATGTAACATTTTACAAAACGATATCGAAGCATTAAGTTAAGGCTGCTGTTGCTTAGCAAGGTTCTCATGTTCATGCCTCTAATGTAAATGCTTTTCTAGCTTGTTCAATCCTGCTACGTATCTCTATGTCTGGATCTAAATCTTCAGTTATCCAACTACCGAAATATCTGAACCTGGGGACCTCTTGAATGTTCTTATTGTTAACTCTTATATTTAATAGTATATTTCGTGTTCTGCTAACCACCATTACCTTCGTCGTATCTATATTAATCTTCAAGCCCAGTCGTTCTCCTTCAGTGTTTATTTTATCTATTAGTCGTTGTAGCGCTTCTTGGCTATCAGCTATTATGACTGTATCATCAGTATAGCGAAGATTACTAACAGTCTGTCCGTTGATTTTGATTCCGTCTTCAGTTTCACTTAAAGCTCTATCGAAAATCGTTTCAGATTAAAGATTAAAAAGGAGGGGTGACAGAACACAACCCTGTTGTACACCATTTTCAAATGAGAAATGTGATGTAGATTCCAGTCCTACTCTCACAGATGCCACTTGATTCATATAAAGGTTCTTTATGATTTTAAGGTCATTCTCATCTATCAAACGTTTCTGGAGCAATTTTACAAATTCTGAATGATTAACACAATTGAACGCTTTCTGGTAATCTATAAAGCATAGGAAGACATATCTCCTCAACCAAGCAAAAATCCTTAGCGAATTTGTTTATAGTACTCGTACAGAGTATATCGGAATTTTATATAATAACATCTTTATCAACGTCTGTTTTGCCTTGCAATTCTTAGAGAGCACAGATTAAAGCAACAATCTGAATTTGGTATCAAAAATTGGTTTACGGATTTAATATCAGATGTCGCTATTTGCGTCCATTCTAAGCCATGTTAGAGTTGCTTCCTAAGGCAGAAGAGATTTATGTTCACGTTCAGAGCGACTGTGAATTGCCGTTCTGAAGAGCCCTATTAGGGCGAAATACGTATAAGCGGGTACACAGACGCACTGTACGTGAAATCAAACCTTAACTGTCTTTTCCTTTTATTTCGATATACTCTGTACGAGTACTAGAAACGAATTCGTTAAGGATTTTTGGTTAGTTGAGGAGATATATTGTGAACGCAAATTTTAGATTCCCCATGTCTTTAATAACATCTTTATCAATGTCTGTTTTGCCTTGCAATTCTTAAAAAGCACAGATTAGAGCAAAAATTTAAATTTGGTTTCGAAAATTAGTTTACGGGTTTAAGAAATAATAATTTTCATATTATTAGTTTTCAATACTATACGATTAATTTATTTGTTTCTTTAAACTTCAAAACGTTGTTAAAAACAATCAAAATCTCTTAAAAAATATCAATATATACTTACTAAATATTTGTCCTTTGGATTTTCTGCTGCCCTTTTTTTGTAAGTCTGGATAAGCTTATTTAAAATACGTTTATTCTGAGGATCATCTTCACTTAAACCAGGCAGAAGAAATTTCTTAAAGTCAACGTATTCCTCCTGGCCCTCTTCTTTAGCTCCAGCATTATTTCCGAAACGTTTGTATACTTCCAGTAATATTCCTTCCCTATCACAATAACCAATTATTAAAGGAACCCTGTTGTACTGGCCAGTTGTTAACAGTTCAATAGGGTTAGATGTAAGAACAGCTGTTTTGTTAGGTTTTTCGATATTAGGACCTATCACAGACGCGCCCTTTAAAGACTGAAATAAAATTAAAAAAACATTACTACATAACATAGATATTTTACTAGTATAATGTAGAAGTATATCAAAAAATTGGTGTGTTAGAATGAGGAAGGAGTAGCTTGACAAATTTTAAATATACAGAAAAATTTTAAAATGCCAATATATCATCATGCACCAATAGGCCGACAAAAAGAAGAAAACGAATAAGTCGGTAGTTATGATTGATATAGTTGCGATAAATATTAGGGACTAATTACAAAGTAACTCAACGGGCCATGGAGAGGGCCATGTTAAATATAAGCCTCAGAGACAAAATTCCTAACACCGAAATACGTCGAAGAACTAAAGTAACCGACATCATGGGAAAAATAGAGACATTGAGATGGCAATGGGTAGCACATGTAGCAAGACAACACACCAACAGATGGTCTCATAAAGTGACATTCTGGAGACCTCGAGAAACAAAAAGAAGCGTGAAAAGACCCAAAAAGAGATAGACGATATAACAACTGTAGCTGGAAAACAGTGGATGAGAATTGCAAAAGATGGATGAATGGATAAATGAAGGCTGAAGAAGAAGAAGAAAAAGAAGAATTAAGAAACACAATGGACAGCACAATAGACAAAAATAAGGGAGGCCTATGTTCAGCAGTGTACGCAGAGGGCTGGGTGATGATGAAGTACAAACAGGAAAACAGGAAAATGCAGTTCAAAGGGACATCGAGCAAAAATTAGACCAAACAAGGAAGGGAGAGAGACAAGAAAGTGATAAAAACTAATCAAGAACTTTAAAGTTAAGATCTTATATAACCTATAATGCTGTTTAGTCGTGAGTTATAGATCAACATTTTTCAAAAACGACTGTCCACTAGAAAGGGTATAGACAAGTTTAAAAGAGAATCGGATATCCACTATCCAAGTAGAAACCACATACCCTAGCCAAAACAGCACATACAAAATGCTGTTACAAAATCTTTCAAAGTTATAATAACAAAAAAGTTGCGGCAACTTTAACGCAAAAATCAGTCTTCAACAGAATGAACACGAAACAGCACTAGGTAAATTTGGTTCCAAAGGCAGAAACGAGAGTGGACAAACACTAGTAGAATTTCTATTACAACAAAATCTATACCAGATGAATAGTCTCTTCTCTAAAAAAGGCCACAGAAGATGGACGTGAAAAAGCCCAGATGGCAAGAAGCGTAATAGACTGCATAATCAGCAACAAAAACCATATATTTAACGATGAACTCCCGATGATAACCCGATCTGGAACAACCCAACGAATTTAAATGAATACCAAGGTAATATAAAAAAATTCTACAACCAAATGACTGCATAAAATAATGTAAATACCCTAAACGAAAATTCGTAGAAGTTATTTAAGAGGCTCAAGTTAAATGCTGCCCTAAAAATGCCAAGGCGAAAAAATAACCAATAAAACAAAGCAGCTATTGGAAACTAGAAGAGAAAACAAGAAAATAAAAGCATTGACAAAGAAAAACTACGAAAAATAAATACAGTATCAAAATCTATAAGGAATGATTTAAAAATGAAAAGGTCCACCCAACTATAGAAGAGAAAAAAGTCCGAAAATCCTGAGAAGACGGCTAAACAATGGAAAATGTTAAATATACAAACTAAAGAACAAAGAAGGAATCCCCGTATCAAATAAAAAGGAACTACTATACTACTAAGAAGAACTATATACAAGAGAACTATACACTAAGAACTATACACAAGTCAAAGAGAAGACCAAACGAACTTGGAAGCCGCCGCGTCACACAAAATCATCAACCATAGTTCAGAACTCTTCCCAGAGATCACATTAAGCGAAATCCAAGACAAAATGAAAAAGATGAAAAACAACAAAGCACCAGGAGAAAATAGAGTCGTAATATAAGCTATAAAGATGGGTGGACGTGCCCTTCTCAACCAAATAAAAATTTTGTTTAATCTTTGTCTAACATACTGTTGCATACCGGAAACATGGAACAATGTAGTAACAATTTTACTATACGAGAAAAGAAACAAGGCGCACCTAGAGAAATATAGACTAATCAGCTCATTAAACCACATCTATAAAATGTTTACTCGAATAATAACGATAAGTAAATCTTCTGCCAGTAAAAACAGTACAAATATTAAAAACCTTAATAGAAAAATCGATAGAATATAACAGATCACTGGTACTTATCTTGTTAGACGTTCACAAAGCCTTCAATACCGTATAATTAGACAGAATTATAACTGCTCTGAACAATAGAAAAATAGACTACTGGCTTACAAAGTTAGTACAAACATTGTACCAAAACGCCACAATACGTGTAAAACTACATGATACCAACAGAGAAATTCATATAAAGCGAGGTGTGAGACAGGGCGACACCCTCTTACCTAAATTATTTATAACGGTCCTCACATACGCCTTTGAAATGCTAACGTGGGAAAATAGAGGAATAAAAATAGACGGGAAAATGCTCAATCATCTGAGTCTTGCCGACGATATAGTACTTATTACCGAAGATCTACGTAAAGCACAACAAATGCTACAAGAACAATATATGTAGAAATGAACATCTTCTTCTTCTTTATGTACCGTGCTTGTATTCAAGCGTTGGCTATCGTCATATTGACAAGCTGATGAAATGATTCTCGGTCGGCAGCTAGATGAAACAGTTCCTCGATCGTTTGACCTGTACATTGTCTAATGTTACGCAGCCAGGACAGTTGTTTTCTTCCGACCCAACGTTTTCCTTCGATTTTGCCCTGAATGATGAACTAGAGTAAGCGATATTTACGTCCTCGCATTATATAACCGAAGTATTGGACCTTTCTCATTCTGATGATGTTGACAAATTCTCGCTCTTTCTGCACGGTCTCTAGCGCACGTTCGTTAGATATGTATGCTGTCCACGGGATTCTGAGCATGCGATGGTAACACCACAACTCAAACGCTTCTAATTTGTTAAGATTTTTTATTTTTGTTGTCCAGGTTTCACATCCATAGAACAAAAGCGGACCAGACGTAGTGCTTCAATACTCTTAGACGTGTGGTCAACGACAGACTTCTACTGGATAATACAGAACTCCAGTTAATAAAGTTTTGACGTGCGAGTTCTATTCTGGTCGAAATTTCCTCGCACTGTCATCAATGAACATCAGTAAGACCAAATGTATGACAAATTTGGTTCCTAGCGAACACCGAACCATCCATCCAAAATCAAGTGGTAGAATTGACAGAAAAATACATATATAATAAATACGTATCTCAGACATGAAATCAGAATAAGCAAGGATAATCAGATCTGTGAATTTCAACGACGAATAAAACTTTCTTGGGCGGCGTATGGTTCACTAAGAGACATCTTTAAGAGCAACATCCCGATAGCTATGAAACGGAAGACATTTGAACAATGTGTTCTTCCTATTATGACACAGGAAGCAAAAACATTCACTTTCACAAAAACAACAGCACTAAAACTGCGAATGGCACATAGGCGCATGGAAAAATCGATTCTCGGCGTGACAAAAAAGACAAAATAAGGAATCAAGACCTAAGGATAAAAACAGGTATCACTGATGTCGTCCAACGTATAGCCAAGCTGAAATTGAATTGGGCAGGTCACATAGCAAGACTAAAAGACTCAAGATGGACCAGAAAACATCTTGACTGGCGCCCAAGAGAAAACAAACGCAGCAGAGGATGACCATCAACACGCTGGATGGACGACATTAAACGAATATCCAAGAAATGGCAACAAGACGCACAAAACCGTGAAGAGTGGCGAAACATGGGAGAGACCTAGGTTTAGCATTGGATAGAAGAGGTTGCATATAATGGAAAAATACAGGAATAAAGAAAAAATACTCAAATGATATTATAATATTAATTGATCTTGGAAAAAAAATACAGAGATACATTCAATAAAAAAGTAGTGAATATGTCAAGATTGTGGGAGACATGTATGAGGGAGTAACAACTAGTGTTAGGACGGGTGTAGGAAAGGCTGAAAAATTTCATGTGAAAGTTAAATTGCACCAAGGTTCGGTACTTGGGCCTTATTTTTATTCTCATTAGTTCTAATGTAGTGATGTGCTTAACGTATGTTAATAATGTAGTATTAGTAGGAAATAGTGAAAACAATTGGGAGATAAAGATAAAACTGGAACAGTATAGACAAGTTCTTGAGGAAGAAGGTTTAAAACTGAGGACAAAAATAAACTATTTGAAATATTCATTTTAATATAGAGATAGTGCAAATAATGGCATCATTGGATGGTGAAATGATTATGATAAGTAATAGTTTTAAGTAACAATAATCGGTGCTAAAGAGTAATGGGGGGATAGATGGAGATGCATGCAGTAGAATTAGGATGGTATGGTATATGATGTCAAATGTTGGGTAGTTAGAAAGAAAGTGGAACAACGAATGTAAGTGGTGGAAATAAGCATACTTAGACGGATGACTGGAGTGACAAAATAGGATAAAATTAGAAATGAGTATATTAGAGCGAGAATAGGGGTAGCACTCATTATTGCTAAAATGAAAGAGGATAGTTTAAGATGGTTTGGTCATATCAACAAATGCTGATCTGCGGGTTTCTGGAGGTAGTACGAGAGAAAAAAACAAAAAAAAAACCTGGATAGAAATGCTTAGGCAGGGCATGTTGGTTAAGGTCATTAAAATTGGTATGAGCCAAGATAGAAAATTATGGAGAAATGATACATATATAATCAACTTGAATTTTATGTGTTAGTTGTGCCAGATTCTGTGGAGGATGATGGAGAGTGGACAGTCTCCTTTCCATCTAATTCCATACATATTCGATAGGATTTAAATCCAGATCACGGACGGCCATGGCAAAACATTAACTCCAGCTTCTTAGAGAAAGTCCATAGTTTAACAAGCAATATGGGAACGTGCGTTGTCTTGCTGATAAAGAACATCTTGACGGCCGTCGAGGTAAGGCAGTAAAGTGGTGTGTAAGATGTCGTCAACATAACGCGCAGTTATCATATTGCGTCGAATTAACAATTGGCTACCATAGGCAATAGTTCCTCAAATCTTTACTCCAACTGTCCTGTGTATATGTCTCTCAATAGCAAACCCGATATCTCGTTGGTCTTTACGGCGACGTGTTTCATTCTACGACCATCATGCATTCCTACTCAGAATTTCGATTCATTGCTGAATGATACATTACGCCATTATTCCACTCAATGCTACCGTTATCTGCACCAATTCAAACGTTGATGACAGTGTTCAGCAGTCAAAGGAATCAGTAGTCGTGTTCGGAATGTCGGAATGAAAGCAGTCCAAAGGTTCAAATGCGAAGGTATAGTGTACGCATACTAACAGGTCTACCTGCTACTCCAAACCTTCTTCTTCTTCTTATTTTTAGCCTTCTGTCGTCCATGCTTGGATATAGGCCTCTCCCAACTCCTTCCATCGGTCTCTATCTTAAGCAACATATTTCCAATTTGTTCTGGCTATTCTTCTAATGTCATCAACCCATCTCATCTGTGGTCTTCCTCTTGGTCATTTACTTTCGTAAGGTCTCCAATGTTGTATTGTAGTATTCCAACGTTGGTCTTTTTTTTCTCAGTGTAGCAGTGTAGCCCTCGAAGCTCCATTTAAGTTTTGCAATTTTTATTGTTATGTCCTCGACTGTTGTTTTGGATCTTACCCAGTCGTTCCTCTTTTTATCTGACAGTCGTATACCTAACATTGCTCTTTTCATTGTTCTTTCTGTTGTGGCTAGTTTATTTATGTTTGCCTTGGTTAGGGTCCAGGTTTGACATCCATATATCATGATAGGAAGGATGCATTGGTTGAACACTTTGCTCCTCAAGTATTGGGGTATTTTGCGGTTCTTAAGTATCCAACTAATTTTTCCAAATCCTGCCCATGCTAGTCTGGCTCTGCTAGTAATTTCCGCACTTTGGTTCTCTTTGTCAAGTCTCAGGAAACTCACTCACTCCAAACCATTGATCAGCAATTTGGTGTGTAGTAGCTCTGTGGTACGCCTCGGTTGACCAGTTGGTCTTTTTGGTGTTCCTCTATCTTGGTTTGTCCACATCCGACAGACACGCATAACCGTCATTGCCGTATAAATAACATGACAGTCAAGTTCGGGATACGATAAACCCATATCTCTACGCAAAATAATTTTACTCCTGTCAAAAACTCTAACATGGTGGTAATTTTGGTGTCTTCAAACTCGAGGTAATATAGTCGAGAAATAATAACTAAAAGCTCCTATACAAACCGGTTTTCACAAATCGGTCTCTTCGCAAAAAATTTAAAGATAAAGCTTTATTTTCACAAAAAGTAGAAATAATAAAATATTGGTATTGTTATCATAACATAGGATAGCATAGAAAGATCGTGCGCTGATGGTATATTCGTTCTGCAGCAGGTAATCGAAACATGGAAGGCAAGGAATCTATCTACCCACCTATTGTTTCTAAATTTAGAGAAGGCATACGATACGGTACCTTTGAAAAAACTCTTTCAAAAATTGACGAAAGTAGGTCTCAGTAGAGAGTATGTGGTTGCTATCACAAATATATACAAAAATGCAAGAAGTGTCGTTAAAGAAGGAAACTTTATATCTGAATCATTTCCAATAACAAAGGGGCTTAAACAAGGATGTTGTTTATCTCCGACCTTATTTAAAATATATATTCAATCATCTCTAGAGCAATGGAGGAAATAAGTATCCGGAATTAGAATGGGCATAGGCGATGGTAAATGTCTAACAACTTTATTTTTCGCAGATGATCAGGTAGTCGTAGCGAACGATGAGAAAGGCATGGCTACATGTATAGAAAACTAAAGAAAGAATATGAAAAATGGGGCCTCAATATGAATATGTCAAAGACAGAGTATCTTAAAATAGGATATAATGAAGAAGATCCAGAGTTAGAAATTAGAAACACAAAAACATGCAAGGAATATAAATATCTCGGATTAATAATATCTAAAGAAGGCACTACCAAATGAGACATCGAAAACAGAACGCAGCAGGGAAAAAAGCGGTTAACATTCTAAACTCTCTACTATAGTCTAAAGATATTAAACAAGAAACGAAATTGACAATCTATCGAACCTTCTTTCTTCTTAGAGTGCCGTCTCCCTACGGAGGTTGGCAATCATAATGGCAATTTTTATTTTAGAACTTGCTGCTCTAAACAAATCAATCGATCTGCATTTGTACCAATCACGTAGATTTTTTAACCATGAGTTCTGCCTTCGGCCAACAGATCTTCTTCCTTGAATCTTTCCTTGTATTATCAGTCTCAAAATTTCATATTTTGGTCCCCTCATCACGTGGCCTAGGTATTCCAGTTTTCTGGTTTGTATAGTGGTGATTAGTTCTGTTTCTTTACCAACCCTCTCCAGTACTTCTTTATTTGTAATTCTATCAGTCCATGATATTTTCAATAATCTGCGGTATAACCAGAGTTCGAAAGCCTCAATTCTTTTTAAATTACATTTTTTTAATGTCCAAGTCTCAGCTCCATATAATAATATTGAAAATATATAACAGCGAATGGTACGTAGTCTGATCTCCAAATTTAGATTTTTGCACGTTAGGAGTGGCTTCATTCGTATAAATGCTGATCTGGCAATCTCTATTCGTCTGTTTATTTCTACAGTATGATCATTGGTTTCATTGATCAAAGTTCCCAAATACTGATATTTTTCTACTTGTTCTATCACTTTACCATTTATTGTCAATAGGTGATGTATATTTTGTGGCCTTTTTGTAATCAGCATGTACTTCGTTTTTTTGGCGTTTATAGTAATTCCCATCTCAGCACTATTCATACTTAAGCTTTCGATAAGATGTTGTAGATCCTCTATACTCGTTGCTATGATCACAGTGTCGTCTGCATATCTTAAATTATTAATTAATTTTCCGTCAACGGTGACTCCCGCTTCAATATTATTGAGCGTGTTTTGGAAAATTTCTTCAGAATATAAGTTAAACAAAAGTGGTGATAACACACATCCCTGTCTAACTCCTCTACATATCCTCATTTCTTCTGAGTGTTGCCCATCAATTTGAACTATGGCACTTTGGTTCCAATATAATGTTTGCACTATATTTATGATTTTACTGTCAATGCGCTTGTTCATAAGTATTGATATTAGTTTTTCATGTCTTACTTTATCGAAAGCTTTTTTGTAGTCAACGAAGCACAAGTGTAGATCAACATTTACATCCCGACATCGCTAAATTAATATGTTGATGGCAAATAGTCTCGAGTTCCCATTCCATTTCGGAACCCGAACTGCGTCTCGCTAATATCCTCCTTTAACCTTTCGTATATTCTCTTATGTATTATTTTTAGCAGAACTTTTAAAGTATGACTCATGAGGCTCAGTGTTCGATAATCAGAGCACTCTTTTGCTGCTTGTTTTTTAGGGATGGTTATAAATGTTGACTTTAGCCACTCCTGTGGTATTATTCCCGTATCGTACACCGTGTTGAATAAATCTGCCAATACTTCCAAGTTGTCCTCTTCCACTAGTTTTAACAGTTCTACTAGTATTTTATCTAATCCAGCTGCCTTATTGTTTTTAGAGTTTTTGATAGCATATTTGATTTCATCTATCGTGATCTTCTGTATCTCTAAAGGATTTAATTCTTGTATTTTCTGCATTTCACCTCTTTCATCTTGGAAAAGTTCTCTAACGTACTCCTCCCATCGCCTTAACTTTTCTGGTAAATCTACTAGTAGTACTCCTTTTTTGTCTTTTATGTGTCCTTGATGTCTATTTCGACCCATTCCAGTCACTTCTCTAATTTTTTTGTGCATATTTCTCATATCATATTTTGTTTCTAGTTCTTCTATCTCTTTACATTGCTTCATCAAATAGATTTCCTTAGTTGTTTTGATTTTTTCCTTAATTATTCGTTGTATTTCTTTATACTTCTGTAGACCTTTCCTTTATATTTCCTTCTTTCTTCCATCAGTAATAGTATTTCTTCTGTCATCCAGTGTTTTTTAGCTTCTGATTTATGTTCTATTAAACTTTCTTGAGCTGGTTTCAGTAATGTGTTTGTTTATATTACACCACTTTTTATTTACATCCATAATTTGTTTGTTGTCAGTTAGTGTTTTTTGCATATTAACATTCACATTATTTGAACCTTGGTAGAGCCCAATATGACTTATGGGGCAGAAGTTTGGCAGATCGCGAAAAAAGATAGAACAAGAATAGAAGTAGTAGAAATGGATTTTCTAAGGAGAGCGTGTGGTATATCCAAAAAAGGTCATATCAGGAATGAAGATGTTAGAAGAAGGACAAATACTGTATATTCCAGTGTAGACAGAATTGAAACGAGACAACTAGTGTGGTATGGTCACGTGAAGCGAATGAATGAAAAAAGATGGCCAAAGAAAGCTTTAAATTACATACCACAACAAAGAAGAAGAAGAAAGGGAAGGCCTTCAGTTTCCTGGGAAGAAAATGTACGACACATAATGAGAGATAGAGCCATCAAAGAAGACGAATGGCTGGACAGAAAACGATGGGAGTTGAAATGCGAGAAGCGGCAGTGGCTGTAGGAACCTCGGTATATATATATATATATATATATATATATATATATATATATATATATATATATATATATATCATAGCATGTTTGAATGTTTGAATTGTAGTCATTCTGTTGTCAAAAAATTAAGTTTAATTAAGAAACTATTTCTTCTAATGTCACTAAGTATACATATAAATAAGTAAAATTTATTATATTTTAGGAACCTACCGCATGAAATTTTTCTTGATAACCTAAAAGTTCCTCAACGGATAATTTTTTTAAAACTTCTAAAGCCTCTTTTTCAGTCTGCACGGTATCAGTTATTGTTTTAGTAAACGTTAAAGCATAATCTTTAGAAAATACCCATGGATTCAACAAACATCCACTTTGTAAAATAGCTTTATGAAACAGTCCTTTTGACGATGGTGATACTACATGAATATGAACAGAGGCGCTTCCAGCACTTTCCCCAAATATCGTGACGTTATTGGGGTCTCCGTTAAAGCTCTTGATATTATTTTGTACCCACTTCAGTGCTAGTTGTTGATCTTTCAATCCAGCATTACCAGGAACGTCTAATGATGTGTCATCTAAATGTAAAAATCCCAAGAAACCTAGACGATAGTTTATTGTAACAAGAACGATGTCCTCAGTTATCAGGTATTCTGGTCCATAGAAGTGGCTTTTGTTACTACCACTTACGAAAGCCCCGCCATGTATCCAAACCATAACTGGCTTTAATTTATTACATTCTGATGGTAACTGTAAAAAATAAATAATTTAATCTTATTGTATTATTTTACTGAATATAGTTTTTAAAATGTACTTCTAGTAAAAAATGGATGCTTTGTAAAAACATATTATTCAAACGTATTCTCAAGTATTGGTGAATTTAAATTAAATTACCATTGATTTACTTAACCTTAGAAAAAATTATCTTTTCTTCCTAATCGATTGACCAATCAGATCATTTTTGGAAAATTCAAATTTTGACCCCAAGATTTTATTAACAGTTGCAGGTCGTGATCCGCGATGCAAATATGATAAATAACTTTATATTTTACATAAATATATTCTACAGGGTGTAAACAAACTCTCCTGACAAACGAAGGCCGGAGATTTCACAGATAAGTTTAAGACAATTTAACCCAATTTACCTAGTCCAAAAATGCTTCTTAAGGGCACTAAAGCTCTTTGAAGATTGTGCCTTCTAATAAGTTTTTTTTAATACGTCCAAAATGCTATTATTTAGAAAAACTAAGACTAGTACGATTATTAATCCTCTAGAGTTAAATCGATTTTGTCTGTTTTGGGTAGATCAACGGTTATTTGACCGCATAACTTTTTTGTCTTTAACCCTTAACTTGACGGTGTGTACTCCAGAATATGTTATTTATTAAAATATACTTCTTCTTCTTCAAGTGCCGTCTTCGTTCCGAAGTTTGGCTATCATCAAAGCTATGCGTATTTTTGATGCTGCAGATCTAAACAGTTGGTAATTTGTGCAAATGTACCATTCTCTCAAGTTTTTCAACCATGAATGCCTTTTTCTTCCTATAGATCTGTTTCCCATTATCTTTCCCTGTATAATCAATTGCAGCAACTGCTATTTATCTCCTCTCATAATATGTCCCAAATATTGTAGTTTGCGCTTTTTAACAGTAAGTATCAGCTCTTTCTCTTTTCGCACTCTCCGCAAAACCTCCACATTTGTTACTTTCTCTGTCCAGGGTATTCTTAATATTCTACGATACATCCACAACTCAAATGCTTCTATCTTTTTGGCATCGATCTTTTTCAATGTCCATGTTTCCATCCCGTAGAGAAGAACTGACATAACGTAACATCTCAAAAGGCGAATTTTAAGTTTTAGACTTAGATTTCTTCCGCAGAACACCTTTTTCAATTTAGTAAATGTGGCTCTAGCTTTCTCTATTCTGGTTCTGATTTCTTCAGAGCAATCATTATTTTCGTTGATAACAGTTCCCAGGTAATTATATCTTCTTACACGTTCGATTCTTTGATCATGCACGGTTATGTCAGGGAAGTTTTGTGGTGATTTAGATAGCATTATTTTTGTTTTGCTTATGTTAAGTGATAATCCGTGTTCTTCACTGCATTCTACTATTTTGTTAATTAGTATTTGAAGATCTTCTCAAGTTTCTGCGATTAGTACCGTGTCATCGGCATATCTCAAGTTGTTTATTCGGATGCCATTTATCTTAATACCTATATTTTGATCCGAAAGTGCTGTGTTTATAATGTCTTCGGAGTATAGATTGAATAAGTTCGGTGAGAGTATACAACCCTGTCTTACGCCTTTCTTGATCTCGATTTCCTCCGTTGTCTCTTGCTCTATTCGGATATTTGCTTTCTGGTTATAGTAAATTTTAGAGATAATTCTAATGTCCCTCTTATCCAAGTTTTTTTCTACTAGCAGTTTCATTAAGTGATCGTGACGAATCAATAAAGCACATATATATATATATATATATATATATATATATATATATATATATATATATATATATATATATCTTGGTTTATATCTAGACATCTTTGGCATATGACGTTAAGTGCAAATAGTGCTTCTCTTGTTCCAAACCCGTTCCGAAATCCGAATTGAGTATTACTAATATCTGCATCTAGTTTTCTGTTAATTCTTGAGTGGATTAATTTGATGCATACTTTTAATGTATGCCCCATTAAGCTTATAGTGCGGTAGTCAGTGCACTGTTTTGCATTTGCCTATTTTGGTAAGCTTACAAAAGTTGAAAGTAGCCATTCCTTTGGTATTTCTCCTCTTTTGTAGATGCAGTTAAAAAGGTCGAGTAGAATATTCACTGATTCGCCTTCCACAAGCTTAAGAAGTTCTGATGTGAGCCCGTCTGGAACCGGTGATTTACCATTTTTCATTATTTTTATAGCGTATAATAGTTCTTCTTTAGTTATTTCTGGTCCTTCGTCACCTTGCAAGTTATCTATATTAGGTTCTTGTCTTTCATCGTCGAACAATTCTTCTACATAGTTCTTCCAGGTCCTAAGCTTTTCTTGTAGATTGGCTATTATTTCACCATTTGCGTTACATAGGAGATTGGGATGTTTTCGTTTTTGTGTACCTGTCAGTTCCTTTATCTTTTTATGTAAGTTAGAAGTGTCATGTTTGAGATGTAGTTCTTTGATTTCCCCGCATTTTCTTGTATAAAATTTTCCTTTGCAGTTCTTATTTCTTTTCTGATTTGTTTGTTTACTTACTTCTACTTCCTCTACCTAAACGTAAGGTTGCCGCGAGCTTTTACACGTACCCTCTCCATATAGCATTCGGCTAACCAATAAATTAATCTAAATGTCATACTCAGATATTTGTACCAATCAGAGTGTTTTATGTAGACGTGCTCAAAATCGCTTCCCAAGAAGGTGCTAGTTAATTAGGTCTTCAGCATATAATTGTATAAAATAATATTCATGATTTGTCACTTTGGATAGAATCAAGTAGGGCATCAGATAGGATCACTTTGAAAAGTAGCATCTCTGAAGACACATTGCCAGGTAAGCGGCAATTTAGTTAGTGTTCTTGGATATACATTGGCAGGTACTGACGAAAATGGAATGAGTATCTTTTTCGCTACATTACCCGGTGTACGGACAAATACTAATTATTTCTTATTAGATACTTTGCCCATTAGAGAATTAACAGGAAAGTGATAAAAACATTTGGTATATTATGCTTTGTGGTAATTTTTTCTGCTCCCCTAGTTTAGTACACTATTTAAGATACGAAAAAAGAATTCTATCTGTTGGAACATTTAGAGCAGATCGTCTACAAGGTTGTAATTTTTAAACAGACGCGTAATAAAAAAGAAGGAAAGAGGATCTTTTCAGCAGAAAGTGGATAACGAAAAAAGAACTTGCATTGTAAAGAGGTTTGATAACAAGGCATTTCATGTGTGCAGTTCGTATGTAAGTGCTTATTAAAAGATTCTCTAAAGGAGCTAAAAAGAAAATTGAAAAACCCCTACTTTATGGACTCTGTTCATAATAATTAAAGTAAAACACAGTACCACAAAATGTAATGAAAACATTAAACAAATCTACAATTGTTTTGCTAAAAGTCTTGATAATGCTAAAGACCTTTAGCGAAACAATTGTAGATTTATTTAATGTTTTCATTATATTTCGTGAAAATTTGATAATTTTCATTTAATTCAATAACCCAATATTATTTAATATATTGGTCCAAACTACAAATATACATCTTTGAAATATATCTTTCTATATACAGAGTTATTTTTCTAGTAACCTGGCAATGTATCTATTGGTCATCAGTTCTTGTTTTATGGTATTCCTAGCAATGTGTCTTGCGAGGTACATTGTAATGTACGGTACGACTAGTAGTGTATTTTATGAAATAAAATGTCAATAAACTGTCAAAAAATTTAAAATAGAAATAAAAATGTAATTGACTCTGAAAATGGAGCCCCTTAAAAATTATATTCAGTAAGCAAAAATATTTTTCTTACAGCGGTTATGTGCGCGCCAAGTGCGCGAGTTTACTTTTAAGCCTTCGTGATACTAGATTAATAAATTTTATGGTAATTCAAGTAATAAAAGTTACTTTTACTTTAAGTCGGTAGGATACACCGTTCTCAAGAAAAATCGATTTGAAAATTTTTCGTATTTTCGTTACGAGTTAAGTTAAATTATAATTTTTTTCACTAATTCAATGTCGACAGAAGTACAAACTTTGATTTTCATTACAAAATTGTTTTTAATTTTAGAACTTTTTCTTTTTGTTATTTACTGTGTGGCATTTAAACGCAACAATTTCATTTTAATTCATCAAATGAGAAATATGCCAATGAGAAATAAGCTGATGCTATTAGGTTATAGCGAAATAAGGTGTTACGCTCAAGCAGCACAACGTAAATAAGCTGAAAAATTTCCCAATCGTGAGCATCCCACTCATTCAGCATTTACAGCTCTAATGGTAAAAAAAATAAAAAAAAACAGGACGACATAATGATGTAACAGCAGCACATGAAGATGTTGTTTGAATGAAAATTGAGAAAAATCCAGAAATTAGCATTCGAAGACTGCACATTATTATTCGTACGATCGTGACACTTGCCACGTTGATCAAGAAATTAAGCATCAGCGTAGGTTTGGCATAAACGTTATAGCATAAACGGCATAAATTGCCTGCAAAATATTTTATCTAATTTGTTAGAGGGTGTATCTTTATTATTCGGCAAAACTTATGGTTTCTACATGACAGTTGTCCTGTCCAGTTTAGCAGGAGTGCAGACGTTCTTGATAATATCTACGAATACCACTTAATTGAAACAGGTAGTCCAGTTGCTTGGTCAGCACGGTCGCCGGATTTGAATCCTTGCGATTATTGTGTTTATTCCGTAGAACTACAAAATAGTGCACAATTGTGGATAAGAATAAAAGCTGCTCGCAACGAATTTAGAATTAACTAGAATTTTTTATTTTAGATAGATTACAAGTCAGTATAAAAGATGGATTACAAGTGAACATTAAGAAAACCAAGTACATGATTATATCTAACCAACATACAGTAGAAAGGCTAAATATCGATAGAAAACAAGTAGAAAGAGTAATAACGACAAATATCTTGGAGCCTTGGTAAACGAAAATAATGACTAACGTAGAGAACTAAGGACACGCATCGAAATTGCAAGACAAGCATTTATAAAAATAAAAACAATGTTTGTTAATTGAGACCTTCCTATGGAGCT